AAACATTAAAACAGTTATTTTTCTCTTGTATGAATAATTGAAGATTTGTTACCCTAATAGCTAATAGCATACATGCCCAGCATGATCTATCTATACCTATTGTCTGTCTATATGACTGTCTGTCTGACATTTCTGTACCAACCTATCTCCCTTATAAAACGAGTCTGGTGGCTTACAGCTTATAAAAAGAGAAATAGATAAATAATTAAAATATTAAAACTATGCAATTTAATATTGAAAACTGTAAAAAAAACAGGACTATGAAATGTGGATGAGATCTTCTTATCAGATCAGTCATCTTCAGCAGTGAGTACCTCTGTCAAGGCCCCAACCCAACCATCCAAATAAGTTTCTACCCTTCTGGAAGGCCAAATGAATGGGAACAGTTCTCATTTCTAGTGATACAGTATTCCATAGGGATAGGGCCATAGTAGAAAAGGCTCTTCTTCTTGACTGCCTACTGCCTACTGCCACTACTTAGGACACAGATCCATAGCAGGCCTCTTCTGCTGGCATGAGTGGGGTAGGATAATCCAATTGGGGTGAGATGGCTCCTCAGATATTGTGGATTCATGTCATAAAAGGCTTTAAAGTTAACAACCAACACCTTGAATTGGACCTGGAAGCAAACTCATAATCCATGCAGCTCATACAATAGTGTTAATACATGCACCACCCTAGGGACTCACAGAACTGTGCATACTGCTACATCTAGCTGCTGTAGCTTCCAAATACTCTTCAAGGCTACTCATGAAGAGTACATTCCAATAATCCAGCTGACAGATGGCTAGGATTATGTGCAGGGCCTCACAATACAAGTAAGGATGCAAGTGGTGCACAACACCAAGTTGTGCAAAGGCCCTCTTAGCCATGACTGCCACCTGCTCTTCAAGCTGGAGCTGTGAGTCTAGGAGAAGTCTCAAGTTGTGTCACTCTGTCTTGCCAGGGTTCAGCTGAAGCCTGTTGTCCTCCATCCAGACCCTATAGCCTCCAGACATTATAAAGGGCAATCACATTATCACTTGGGTATCAGGGATGAGATGTAAAGCTGTGTATCATCAGCATACTGATGATATCTCATTTCATGGTATGGGATGATCTCATCTAGCAGTTTCATGTAGATGTTAAAAATAGAGGAGAGAGTACTCTGGAATCCCACAAGGGAGTGGTTGTGGCCTGGACCTCTTGCTCCCTATTAACACTGATTGGGATTACCCTTGGAGAAAGGAACCAAACAAGCACAATACTGTACCACCACACCAAACCCCATAGCTGACCCAAAAAGATACCATGGTTGAGGTTATCAAAAGCCAGAGAGGTCAAAGTCAGCAAGGATAAGTGCACTACCCCATCTCATTCTCACCAGGATCATCCACAAGCATGACCAATGCTGTTTTATCCCATAACCCAGCCTAAAACCCAACTAAAATGAGTGCAGATAATGTATTTATTCAGGACCCTCTGGAACTGCAATGAAACCCCTTTTTCCATCACCTTCCCTAGAAAGAGAAGGTGGAAAACTGGACAAGTAGTGTTCAATGATGATTTCTTAAGGAGGGAGGAGACCAAAGCCTCCTTAAATGGTTCTGGACATACTTCCTCCTGTAGCAATGCGTTAATCACAGCCTACAAAAGGGTTGTAGGCCCACAGCCTACAAAAGGCCTGTGGGCTGGATGTGTCATGTGCAGGCCATGCCCACTCTGGCTCCATAAAGGCAAAAAACATCTCAATAAATCACAATGTGTCACATGACTTGATCGAGTTTGTCACTCATGGCCTAGAGCTTTCACCAACAAGACAGGAGAAGGACCTAATTGACAGATAGTTGCCTTGATAGCTCCAAGGACCCTGTCTACTTTCTCAGATCCAATAGGATCAAATAATTTCCAGATAATCAGGCATTTTCAATGGACTTACTCCACACTTGTTCTAAAACTGAGAACAGATCCAAATGATTTGTATCTATCGGGTGTTCAACAAATTCCTCTGCATGACCCTCTCAGTGATCATTTGAGTCCTCCTTCCCAAGGAGGGCCTGGATGACACTCTATGGATGCAGTAAGACTGAAGAGATAGTGAAATTTTCCTGCTCTTATCACCACAAGGTAGACCTGCAGCTGTAACCTGGGTCCAGTCATATTCATTCTTAGCTTTCCTTCAGTGGTACTCTTTTGGCCCTTTTCAGCACCCTTCAATTGTTCTATAAACTAGGGGAAGTCTGGGAGGAATGGGCCAGGATCCTAGGCCTTGGCCACTTTCTGATTCCAGGTTGTAGACAATGCCTCCCCAGACTGTGCAAGAGAGTACCTAGAATATCACCCAGGTCTTCTGGAACCTGAGCAAGTCCATTAGTTGCCAAGGGCAGACCATTCTGATAGGTCCTGTCTTGCTGTAGAGGAGTTCAGCATTGAAAATCTCATAACCCCCAGGATATGGTCTGACCATGACAGAGGGCATTATGAGAGATCCCCACCAAATCATATTGCCACTGATCCAACAAAATTATCTGGAATAATGATCACTGTCTTGATAGACTAATCTGAGAGGTCCATGGCCATCATGATGGCCAGGTATACCTTGGGCAGGTCTGAGGTCAGGCCCAGAGATGGAAGATTAAACTTTTCCAGGACAATAAGCCTTGGAAACTCTGCTACCAACATTGAGATGGTCTCTAGCAGCTGAGGCAGGGAGGTTGCTATGCAGCATGGAGGCTGGTATAGCCATGACATGCCTAACTAATCCCACAGGGAATGGGGAACAAGGAAAGAAAAGGAAAAAAAAGAACTAGGGGTGACAAGAAATGCAGAAAATTATACTACATAGAAAGTAATTCTTGTAGAAATGTAAAAGATAGAATAGAATAGAATAGAATAGAATAGAATAGAATAAAATAGAATAGAATAGAATAGAATAGAATAGAATAGAATAGAATAGAATAGAATAGTTGGAAGGGACGTTGGAGGTCTTCTAGTCCAACCCCCTACTCAGGCAGGAAATTCTATACCATTTTGGACAAATGGTTGTCCAATCTCTTCTTAAAAACATCCAGTGTTGGAGCATTCATAACTTCTGGAGGCAGATTGTTCCACTGATTAATTGTTCTAACTGTCAGGAAATTTCTCCTTAGTCCTAGGTTGCTTCTCTCTTTGATTAGCTTTCATCCATTGCTTCTTGTCCTGCCTTCAGATGCTTTGGAGAATAGCTTGACTCCCTCTTCTTTGTGGCAACCCCTGAGATATTGGAACACTGCTATCATGTCAACCCTAGTCCTTCTCTTCATTAAACTAGACATACCCAATTCCAGCAACTGTTCTTTGTATGTTTTAGGCTCCAGTCCCATAATCATAAAGATATAGAGTTGCTCTCTCTATTACCTTTATATTTATTGTCCTTCATGGTCAACAGTTTTATAGGTTCCAAAAGATGCAACATACATTTGTATAAATGTAATGCTTTGTTTCAAGAATTTCACTGTAGCTGTTGAATAGGCTGTGGTCCGCTGCAATAAAACTTAAAACACCTCCATCTCCAAACAAAGCATCGTAAATGTAAGTTCAGAACAATTACAATGGCCCATTTCAATGTCAGAAAAATCAATTTCAAAGTTATTTTTTAAGATGAGAATATTTGAAATGCTGCTGCTTGGAACAAGCAAGATTATTATTGGTTCAAAAACTGGGAATTAAATACCTTGCTTTTTTTCTTTGAAACTAATTCTTGAAACACATGAATGTTCCCTTTTGAAAATTGTAGAATACTAGTTTATCCTCTCATCTGTTTTTCAGACTAAAAAATCCTAACTTCCCTCCATCTTCTCTTGTAGGTCATTGTTGATGTCCTTTTAATTTGCTTTTAATTTTGATTTCAATTTTCTTTTCAATCATTTGAATCATTCTTAAAGCCTGCTTGTTGACTTGAAAACATTACTGAGAAAGTTACAAAAACATATAACGTAATACCAAGGAGGATTCAAAAATTGTTAATTTCTAGTAGCCATCAGAGTCATATTAAATTCTCAGAGTAATAGCAATAGCACTTAAACTTATATACAGCTTCTTAGTGCTTCACAGCCCTCTCTAAGCAATTTACAGAGTCAGCATATTGCCCCCAACAATTTGGATCCTCATTTTACCGACCTCAGAAGGATGGAAGGCTAAGTCAACATTGAGCCAATAAGGATTGAACCTCTGGCAGTCAACAGAATTAGCCTGCAATACTGTATTCTAACCACTGCAGCACAATAGATTTTTTTACATTATGACAGCTACAAATTATTCTCTGCATTCATAGTATTTCTGTTATACAGATGTGAATCAAATTATCAATCCCTGCATGTGTGAAACATGAGGAATAGCATTAGGATTATTTTCTCCAAAGGAAATGTCATTACATCTTTCAAAAACCTGTTTCTACAATGGATTGAAGGAAGAGAGGGAGGGAGGGAGGGAGGGAGGAAGGAAGGAAGGAAGGAAGAAAGAAAGATTTAGAAAGTATATATAAAAAATGCAGTGCTGTAAAGTAGGTATTGATTTATCCTTCCACTATTGTAATAGTGTATAGTTTTAGATTTCCTGTATGTTAAAATTCAGAATTCTGGATGTCTTGATACATTTCAAATGCCTGACATATAGAAGATGACTATTATCTACAGTTTGTAATTAAAGTCTTGTGATTTTCAGCCCTGAATAATGTAAGCCCAGACCATGGGAGTTTACATTTGAACAATTCAAATGCATAGCCTACAGAAAGACAAAATACTATAATTTATTGAATTTCTATTATTTTGTAATTTGTTTAAGAAGTAGAACAAAATTACACGTCTATCAACTAACTATCTGACTTTTCCTTTTATAAGCAGTTTTTAAAAAATAATGTTTTGGAAACCTATATTTATATGGAAAGTATTATGCTCATACTATTTCTATCCATCATTGCAGTTGTTTTCATTACCAATTTTATAAGTTTTTCTAGAAAAGCTCTTGAGGTGATTACCCAAACTTTACCTTTTCAACATTTTCATCAGGCATTTTTTTATCTCTTTGTTCCTCAGGCTATAAATGATGGGATTCATTAAGGGTGGCAAAACTGTATATAAAATGACAGCTATCATGTCCATAGGTAGAGAGGACCAGGCTTTTGGTCTGAGGTAAGAAAATGAGGCAGTGCTGATAAATAATGAAAAAACAGTCAAGTGTGGAATGCAAGTGGAGAAGGCCTTGTACCTGGCCTCAGTAGACTGAATCTTGAATACTGCAGAAAAAATGTAAGCATAGGAAATAAAAACAAAGAAAAAGCAAAATGAACCCACAAAGACAGCCACAGCAAGAAGGAGCCCTTGATTTCTTGTTGTGTCAGTGCAGGACAATGCCAATAACTGTGGAATATCACAGAAAAAATTTCCAAGCATATTTGAGGAACAAAAATGCAAGCCCAATGCATTTGCAGTATGTACCAGGCCATTGATTGAACTGCAAACCCAAGAAGCAGCTGCCATCTGAAAACAGGCATTCCAGTTCATGATGAGCCTGTATTGCAAAGGGTGGCAAATGGCCACGTAGCGGTCATAGGCCATGACAGTGAGAATAAACAGCTCAGTGCCTGAAAATGTGAGGACCCAGAAAGCCTGAGTGATACATTCAGAAAATGAAATCTGTCTCTTGTTTAACAAAGAGTCAAAAATGGATTTGGGAACAATGGTGGAAATATAATTGGCATCTAGGAATGATAAATTGACCAGAAAGAAATACATGGGGCTATAAAGCTTTGGATGCCGGGCAACAGTCACAATGAGGAGAATGTTCCCAGTCAGGGTTACAAGATAAATGAAAAGGAATGCAATGAAGTGTAAAATCTGTAATTCTCGGACATCAGAAAATCCAAGAAGTAAGAATTCTGCTATAGTCGTTTGATTGATCATTTCTTTTCTTGATCAAAAATTCTGAAAGGAAAGACAAAATTTATTTATTTTATTTATTTATTTATTTATTAATTGCATTTATATCCCGCCCTTCTCCTTACGGACTCAGGGCGGCTGACAATTGAATAAAATACTAACATATATACATACTTAATTAAAATTTGATTAAAACGAAATATTTAAATATGTCCAATTTAAAAGTAATTAAAACCCCCTTTAAAATCCCTCAGGCCAGTC